GTATTTAGGGATAATATTCATTTAGCCTTCTGAGCTTTCTGGGCAGATTTGGTGACCTTGCCAGCTCCAGCAGCCTTCTTGTCCACTGCTTTGATGACACCCACAGCAACTGTCTGTCTCATATCACGAACAGCAAAACGACCCAGAGGAGGATAGTCTGAGAAGCTCTCGACACACATGGCTTGCCAGGGACCATATCGACGATGGCAGCATCACCAGACTTCAAGAATTTAGGACCATCTTCCAACTTCTTTCCAGAGCGCGATCAATCTTTTCCTTCAGCTCAGCAAACTTGCAGGCAAGTGAGCAGTGTGACAATCCAGTACAGGAGCATAGCCAGCGCTAATTTGGCCTGGATGGTTCAGGATAATCACCTGAGCAGTGAAGCCTGCTGCTTCCATTGGTGGGTCATTTTTGCTGTCACCAGCAACGTTGCCACGATGAACATCTTTGACAGACACGTTCTTGACGTTGAAACCCACGTTGTCCCCTGGAAGAGCCTCACTCAAAGCTTCATGGTGCATTTCAACGGACTTTACTTCAGTTGTAACATTGACTGGAGCAAAGGTGACCACCATGCCAGGTTTGAGAACACCAGTCTCCACTCGGCCCACAGGGACAGTGCCAATACCACCAATTTTGTAGACATCCTGGAGAGGCAGACGCAAGGGCTTGTCAGTTGGACGAGTTGGTGGCAGGATGCAATCCAGAGCTTCAAGCAGTGTGGTTCCACTGGCATTGCCATCTTTACGGGTGACTTTCCATCCCTTGAACCAAAGCATGTTAGCACTTGGCTCCAACATGTTGTCACCATTCCAGCCAGAAATTGGCACAAATGCTACTGTGTCAGGGTTGTAGCCAATTTTCTTAATGTAAGTGCTGACTTCTTTACAATTTCCTAGTATCTCTTCTGGCTGTAGGGCGGCTCAGTGGAATCCATTTTGTTAACACCAACAATTAGTTGTTTCACACCTAGTGTGTAAGCTAGAAGGGCATGCTCATGGGTCTGCCCAGTCTTTGAGATACCAGCTTCAAATTCACCAACACCGGCAGCAACAATCAGGACAGCACAGTCAGCCTGAGATGTGCCTGTAATCATGTTTTTGATAAAGTCTCTGTGTCCTGGGGCATCAATAATAGTCACATAATATTTGCTGGTCTCAAATTTCCACAGGGAGATATCAGTGGTGATACCATGCTCACACTCAGCTTTCAGTTTATCCGAGACCCACGCATACTTGAAGGAGCCCTTTCCCATTTCAGCGGCCTCCTTCTCAAATTTTTCGATGGTTCCTTTGTCGATCCCACCACATTTGTAGATCAGATGGCCAGTAGTGGTGGACTTGCCCAAATCTACGTGTCCGATGACGACGATGTTGATGTGGGTCTTTTCCTTCCCCATTTTGGCTTTTATGGGTGGTTTTCACGGCACCTGTGTTCTGGCGGCAAACCCGTTGTGGGGGGGGGGGGGAAGCTTATGTCTCTTTTTTATCACTGAATTGCCTTTCTCACCCAATGGCAATCCTGGTTCTCAATGTCACCAGTACAAATACTCATTTGCTTTACTCACACACACACACAATAGTTTCAGAGTAATAATACCAAACTACTTACATTAGTTTTCTATTGATGAATTACCAAAATTTGGCAGCTCCACACAACACAATTTTATTAACTCACAACATCTGTGAATAACAAGTCTAGGCACAGCTTAGCCAGATCCTTTGCTAAGGAATTCTAAGGCTGCGATCAAGATGCTGATAGGATTTAAGAAAGTATTTCTCTGAAGAAAATAAGAAAGCTTCACTGAAGGGCAATGGGATGTGTATTAGGGTTCTCTGATGGGAAGATATATCTACATCCCTATATCTATCTAAAGAGATTTTTTTTTATAACAAACTGGGTCATGTGATCATGGAGGTAGGGTGAGTCAGCAAGCTGGGGATTCAGGAGAGCCAATGATTTGTTCTATTCTAAGTCCTAAGGCCTGAAAACTAGGCAAGCTGATAATATAGTTCCAGTCTAAAAGCCAACCGGCTTGCGATGAGGGAAAAGCCAACATTTCAGTTGAGTCTGAAGGCAGAAAAAAAGCCAATGTCTCAGTTTGAGGGCAGCCAGAAAGGAAGAATTCTCTGTCACTTGAAGGAAGGTCAGCTTTTTCCTTCTAGTCAGGCCTTCAACTGATTGGATGAGGCCCACCCACATTAGGGAGAGCCATCTGTTTAACTCTGTCTACAGATTTAAATGTTAATTTCATCCAAAAACACCCTCACAGAGACACCCAGAATAATGTTTGACCAAATATCTGGGCACCCCGTGGCTCAGTCAAGTTGACATATAAATTAACCATCATAGGAGACCTTTCTAGTTTTGAGGTATATGATAGAGGGTTTAGAATTTTAGAGAAGGAAAATGAGATAAATATATTCTTGTTGGCGTTCTGGCTTTCTTTCCAGTTCTACTGCAAATAAAGAACAAAATAATCTCTCTAAATAATTGCATTAGTCGTTTTATTTCTTTCCAATACTTAACTATCACATCTAAATGACATGTTACATCAAATTAATATTCCCTTTGAAGTTATTCAGTCCCCTTTGCAACTATCTCCTCTTCCTAATTATGAGACCTACTTTTTTCTTATGTTCTATCCTTACTTCCTCAAGGGAAGACCCTCCACTCTCGCATCTATCCTGTCAACCTTCTAATTAGTTTTTCCTCTCCCTGGCAAGCAGCCAGCCCAAAGCAGGCTCTAGTTGGGAGTAAGAGAGAAGTCTTATGTTTAAAGAAGATTAGTGTGTCAATTACTAACATAGTCTGGGTGATTTTAACTTCTGAATGTGATAGTAGGACTGGTTGTGTCTAAGAATGGACTCCTTCCTGCAAAAAAAGAGTTGAAGTTTTTACTTGAGACTGAAATTTTATGTGGAGCAAAGGAAAAACTTCCTTTTTAAAAACCTGCTTTTTAAGGAAAGAATGAGAGAAAACATATAGCGCCATTTTGATTGCCTCCCGTAAGTGATTATTGATTACATATATCATCAATATTTAAACCTCCCAACAACTCTATATGATACATATCATCATTCACATCTTACGGACAAAGAAGTTGAGAGGCTCAGATTATTTTTTCCCATAGCCACACAGCTGGTAATTATCAGAGCCAAGATTTGACAGTAGGTCCATTGGACTCTAGCCCAAGGCCTATGGTCTGCTATACCATGCCAGCGTGACAGGACTGTGAAGGTTGTATGGCATGTTTCTAGGATCCAGGAGATATAAGATTTAAGAACCTCATTTGTCAAAGTATATCTTCTCCATCTTTGAAAACTAATTTCCCTTTCTTCCTAAGGCTCAGTCGGAGTGGCCAAAATAATGGATTACCTGAGACAAACACATAGCCATGATTCTGAAGACAGTGGCCTTGAGGAGCTGTGGAATGTGCTGGATCCTGAGAAGAGAGACCCCCATGTGGATCTGGAAACTTTCCAAGCGCTCATGAAAGAATGGATGGCTTACTGTAGAACCAAATGGTAATCAGAATCCCAGCAGGATGCATTTTAAAGTTCTGTTTTAACAGTGGATTATAACTGATGCTAATCACTGCATTTCTGTTGATGAAAATGCTATGATCTGGGGCTTCTCCTGCTTTAGCATGCATTGCAAGCACCTGAATGATGTTGAACCGGCTTGCTGGGCCCTACCACCAGGATTCAGTAGGTCTGGGGTGAAGCCTGATAAATTTGCATTCTCACAAGTTTTTTAGTAATGCTGATAGTGGGGAGTGGATGCACTTTTGAGAACCGTTCCTCTAATATATTAATTCTGATAACATTCATTTCTCATGGCGAGTGGGGAGCACATAGTCTTATGTTCTCGCAAAGAATTGAGCTGGCATCAGAGTCAAGCTCATTATTGATATTGACCATCAAATCTCCAAATGTTTTTAAATTCAAGAATGAACTCCCTTTTAAGGCCAGTGGAGCTAGTCAGTGACTGTAATTTGGAAGCCTAGAATATAGGGAGGTGAAGGGGAAAAAGAAAGGATAATGGAATTGGAAAAAAGGGTAGAGAAAGAGAATGGCACCCATGGTCCCATGTGCCCCTGGCGGATACAGGAGACATGTTATCTTCTTTCACAGGAAACGCTAATTCTCGGCCTTCCCACCTTGGCCCACTGAGCTCGCAGCTAATTCCAGCAGATACTACAAAATATGGGATTTCTGCTTAAGAAAACTCGTCAAAACCGAAAGAAATGGACAAACATTTGGCTAGATTCTGGCAAGGGTGAGCATTATAGATGACTTAAGAAAATATGACTGAAATGGTGTTTGCCATACACAGGTGAATAATGAAGACAGAATAAATATATAAAAATACATAATCTTATTAGTAATCAAAAAAGGCATGTAAAGAAAATGTACCCTTTTTGCCCATGAGTTTAACAGAGATTTAAAAGAATTACTCTCTGCTATGTCGGAGTGGGGAAAAGGATGAAAACATAAGCCCTCTTATATATGGGTAATAGTGCAAGTTGGCATAGTTTTTTAAAGAGTAAATTTAGGAATAGTATCAAATCCTAAAAAAAAAAAAATATGGCAGTCCTCTTTGACCCGACCAATAGTAAACCTTCCGAGACAAAAAATAATTATCATCTTAATATTTAATAGAAAGTTGTTTCTGAATAGATGAAAAAAAGCGAAGCCAACCCTAAATATCTGCTAAAATCTAGACGCCAAATAAAATTAAGTAATCCATAACACCTGGAGCCTAACAGTCATCAAAGTAAAATTAGAACAATACTATATGACCAAGATAGAATTGGTCATATGATTCCTCTTTCGAAAATAAATGGCTCATAGGTACGTCAAAGACATTTCAATTTTTTTGTCCAAAAATGAAAAAAGTTTGGCGAAACGAGTAAAGAATGCCAAAATGATCTGTGATAATCTCCACATGATAGTATTTCATTTTTGTTTCTCTTATGAGTTTTAATAATCTAAAAATATTTAAGTTTGATTATATGATAAAAATATCAATCCATTTGTAAAGCAGAGTGAGAGCAAAAGAAACTCTTGTTTCTATAACAAATATAATGGAAGAAACATGGGGTTATAAATACAAAATATAAGAGCAGAAACTCAGAAATGGGGATGAGTGTGTCTGTAGGAGTAATGGAAACACTGCGTGAGTGTTTTTGCCCAGCCAACAATCCGACAGACGTCTCACACTGGAAACCCATGAGATGTAAGCACAAATGTGCAGAATTTTGTGGCTGCTTCAGAAAGAAGCTAAGGATTTGACGCTTAGAAAGATAAAGTAACAAAACTCAAATTATAGGCTGGGCATGGTGGCTCATGCCTGTAATCCTAGCACTCTGGGAGGCCGAGGCAGGAGGATCGCTCGAGGTCAGGAGTTCGAGACCAGCCTGAGGGAAGAGCAAGACCCCGTTTCTACTAAAAATAGAAAAAAAATTAGCCAGCCAACTAAAAATAGAAAAAAAATAGCTAGGCGTGGTGGCACACCCCTGTAGTCCCACTTACTGAGGCAGGAGGATCACTTAAGCATAGGAATTGGAGGTTGCTGTGAGCTAGGCTGACGCCACAGCACTGTAGCCTGGGCAACAGAGCAGGACTCTGTCACAGAAAAAAACAAACAAAAAATCCCCCCAAAAACCCCTAAATTATAGTATAAAGATTCTGAAAAGAAATGGTTGGAATTGTAATATGTTTATTTTGTAACTAGAGCTGGAGTTGTGCATTGCACGGACGCCTGCACAGAGGATTCCCAAATTTCAGGAGTAAAATGCTCCAAGCACAATTAGTCCAGGGGCTACTTGGTTCTCCATGAGAAAGGGAGGATGCTGGCACCATCAGTGTACCCCAAAGTATTAGTTGTTCACGCCTTTCCTCCCCAATCCTTTAAGGCTGCATTTACTACTCCACAAGTCTCCACTTATCACTCTAAATGATGTCTACTTCCTAATCCATTGAGACTCCTGTCGCAATCAATACTGCTCTGTATGGTGTTGTTCTTTTGTAAATTACGGGGTGACATGCATGGCTGGCGAGATAACGCCTTATGTTTCTATAGCTCCTACAAGTGCTAGCCTAGTATATGTGGCTCATATAGTTGCTGGATGCATAAGTGGTTTTTTTAAAAAAAACTCATAAAGAATACTGAAGCCAGGCTCTGGGTGGCTCACGCTGTAATCCTAGCACTCTGGGAGGCCGAGCGGTGGATGTGCTCAGTCAGGAGTGTGAAACCAACCTGAGCGAGACCCTGCCTCTACCTAAAAATAGAAAGAAACTAATTGACCAACTGAAAATTATATATCAGCAGAAAAATTAGCCGGGCATGGTGGCGCAGCTTGTAGCCAGCTGCTCAGGGGCTGAGGCAGAGGATCGCTTGAGCCCAGGAGATTGAGGTTGCTGTGATGACTAGGCTGACCCATGGCACTCACTCTAGCCTGAGCAACAAAGTAAGACTCTGTCTCAAAAACAAACAACAAACAAACAAACAAGAAATACCTGGATAGGAAAGTACAGAGAACATCTGAAAAGTGAACTAAACTGTTCTGGCAAAGATTCCTAACTCACTGGCTCTGTCTTTTGGTTACAGGGAAGGAGCGACTAGTAGATCAAGCAGCAGCATCGATGATTCTGTGTTTGAGCAGCCGGACAGCATTCAATTGAGTGGAGCAAGTAAATGCATCTCTCTTCGGGATCGCTCTGATGCTTTCTTGTGGTTTGGAGACAGTGGTTTTTCATAACGCTCTTGTATGTGTTTCAGTTAAGATGACCACAGGTAGGACAAATTCCACATCAGGGAGCTTCGAGGCTTTGGGTGGAGACACGTCTAGAGGAGTCTTGTAAGTGTCCTTTCTTGTAATGCTTCCTCACGTCTCTAAACTTTCCTTATTTATTTTTCTTTATTTCACAAATCTACGTTTTTCAGTTATGACAAAGTCGCCTAGCTTTTTTTGCAGTAGAACTAGCATAATTGATTTTAAATTCTTGACTATTCTATGTCATCTGTATTAGAACCAGTTTCACTAGGAGCACAATTTTTTTTTTCTTTAGACAGTCTTGCTCTGTCGCCCTAAGTAGAGTGGTGTGGCGTCGTCATAGCTCACAGCAACCTCAAACTCCTGGGCTCAAGCGATCTTCCTGCCTCAGCCTCCTGGGTAGCTGGGACTACAGGCATGCGCCACCATGCCCTGCTATTTTTTTCTATTTTTGGTAGAGACCAAGTCTCACTCTTGCTCAGGCTGGTCTTGAACCCCAGAGCTCAAGCAATTCTCCCGCCTCAGCCTCCCAGAGTGCTAAGATTATAGGCGGAGCCACCGTACCCGACAACACAAATTCTTATTAGGACTAGTAATCCAAAACCATTTGCTCACTCGTGAAACCCTTCTGCATTGCCTTCATGGTGTTTTCTATAGAAAATGAATTCCATTTGAAGTAGGGTTGTGATATTGATCTTAAGTTCTTTTGGAAATGATTTTAAAGTAGTTCTTTAATAGAACCTTATAGGAACAAATAAAAAAAAAGCTGTTTTCCACTCAATTTGTAAGTTTTAGATACTAAAGAGAGGTGGTTTTGCATTTCCCTTATTTTATCTTTGCCACTTCAAGTTCATCCCTGCAAAGAGGCAGAGTA